AAAGGTTTGGCGAACATGAGAACGTTTGTTCAGTTTTGAACTTTTTGAATTGCAGATATCTGTAGGGCATTTATGTAGAAACTAGAGGCCCGGTGCATGAGTTTGTGCGCTCGGGGGGTGTGGGAGGTGGGGTCCGTCAGCCCAGCCTGCACCTTCTCTCAGTCCGGGAGCCCTCGGGGATGTCTGACTGACGGCTTAGGGGGAGTGGGCCTAAGCCGTCAGTTGGACATCCTTAGCACTGCCGTGGAGGCAGGAAAGGCTCCCGCCACCACTGCTGCACTCACCAGCATTGACGTCTGCCTTCTGGTGGTCAGTACGAGTCATAGTGACCATTCGTTCCACCGTTCGGTCTGTTTGCATATTAGGCTTTTATTATATAGGATGAATACAGAACATTTTCATGTCCTTGTGAAGATTGTTAAGAGGGCACTACTGATTTCTTCTTGAAATTCTGGGCATGGGACTGTTCTAGTCTGTGTTATAATAGCAGTAGTAACCTTTGCCCTAATCCCTTGTAACACAGTTAAAGCCCAGAATTAATACATGGTTGCATTTTATATTTCATCACATTCTAAATTTCCTAAATCACTCTTTTCTTCACTTTGCAATTATAAACATTAGGGCTGAGGTGAGGTTTCATGCTGCTCTCACAGGCTTAGCTAGTGAAGTCCTCCTAGTGGCCTCAGTAATCACTGCCACCACAGAATCTGAGAACTCATTCTGCCCAGGGTACCTGGTGATGCTACAGTAATAAATGTACTGAGGAATTGTTTTCATTCATTCATCCATTTATTTCCTATTAACTGAGTACCTGCTACATGCAAGGTATGTTGCTTTTCAACTGGACACGAAGCAGTACCATTGTCTTGTTTCTACAAATAGATACCACAACAAAACCTTATCATAAAAACTTTTATTTCCTTTTCAGAGACTTGTCAGTTGTTTTAAATGTAGAAATTACTTTTTTAATTTCTTGAAACCTTAAGACCGCTTCTGGTAAAGAGGGAGGCGTTGAGGGGAGTAAAGAAAGTGAAAGAATTAAGAAGATAAACAAAGTGAGTATGAACTAGTTTAAGATATTACATGTATTGATCTATGCCAGAGGCAATTCTTGCTAGACCTGATTCTGACATTCCAATCTGTCTAGCACTTTTCTTAACTGCTCTTTTGCCTGATTTCATTTGTTGTCCAGTGGACTTACTGTTATGGCATGCTGATTAAATGTGGGAATTAAAAGCAAGGTCGAACACTGCCTTGGTTCACACCTTGCCACTTCGTGTTTCTGTGAACCTGGATACATTGCAGCCTCTCTAAGTCTCAATTTCTTCCTCTATAAATGGGAATAATAGCACTATGTAGCTAGCTTATCAGACTATTCCATTTAATGTAAGCTGTTTAGCATGGTGCCTGGCATATAGTATATGTGTAATAAATGTTAGCAATAAAGCAATAATAGTGATGAGTTTTTGTGTATCCTAATAGCACTCTGACTTCCTTAAAGTGCTAGGTAGTATTCAAGTAAAAGAACACATTTAGTTTTGACATTTTTATTTATTAAATATAAATATTATATATTCATTGATTGTTTCTATTTTATTTTTAATTTTGAAACATTATTATTCAATATATTTTTATTGATTTCAAAGAGGAAGGGAAAGAGAGAGAGAGAGAGAGAGAGAGAGAGAGAGAGATACATCAATGATGAGAGAGAATCATTGATCGGCTGCCTCCTGCATACCCCCCACTGGGGATTGAGTCTGCAACCTGGGCATATGCCCTTGACCAGAATCGAACCCAGGACCCTTCAGTCCGCAGGCCGATGCTCTGTCCACTGAGCTAAATCAGCTAGGGCTTTACCTTAACATTTTTATAATCCAACGTGTATATATAACTTCTCTGTCTTTCCTTATACATTGATCTCTGCTGTTAAAAAAACAATACTTAGAGATTTCCTGATCTCATATTGTAGACAGTAACTTCCCTGCCTGTTTGCTCCCCTTGCTTCCTCATGCCCTATTAACTTATAAGAAACCTCTGTAGAACAGTGATATAGGGTGTATAAAAACTAATAAAGCCAATGCATGTAATAAAGCAAAACACGTACGTCCAGTAGAGGGAGATGTTGGCAAAATAATCAAGCCACATAATATGCAGGTGCAGTGGGCACCAAATTTGAAAACAAAGCTTTCCCTGTGTAAAAACATTAACTAATTAAGAATTAACTAAATATAAATTCAGTAGCGCTGTGGATTCTGTTTTGCTAGCTGTCAAACCCAAACTCATTATACAATTACCTAGAGAAGCATATGAGGAATATGTACACTGTTACCACTCCATACAGTTTTGCTCACGTACTGTTTCAGAGATGGAAGTAATGACAAGAATATTGACACACCTCTCTCTCTCTCTCTCTCTCTCTCTCTCTCTCTCTCTCTCTCTCTCTCCTCTCTCTGTAGAAGTTACAGGCTGATTACTTGAAAACAAAGAAAGTACAGAATCTATATATATTTCTCTAATTCAAAAATATTTTTTCATTGAGTTCTAGATTTTTCTGAATAAACGGGTGTCACTCTTAGTAACCTAAACTGATGGATTGAATAAAAACACTATTCATTTATAAAAGTAAACATTATTGAAAAGATAATATCTTTGTAATTTAGATCTCCAAAATTCTGAATCACTGGGAGGCCTATAATTAAAAGCAAATTAACAACATTTAATTAAGCTTGAATTGGAATTTTTTCAAGTATTTTGAGTAGGATAGTTAAGTTGATTTGAACCTTTACTCTTCCAACAGAAACATCACATTTCTTTCTGTTGGCAACATTGTCCAATAACTGACTACTATAATAGTCCCTCTGCACTTTGAGATTTAATACTCTTATTCTATCACACTCTAAGAAATTGCTGCCCTGGAACTTGGGGATGTTGAGACGGCCCTTAAACCTGAGAGTCTCACTTAATAGTTGACTGAGTTTTCCCCTCTGTATCATGCCTAAATATTTTGATGTAGATTTTATTACTTTTGGCTGCATTAGTAATTTCAGTTTGTAAAATGTCCAAAGAACTTTATATCATATACAAAATATATGTTAAATAAATCACTATAGTAATTTTACAGTTTAAATTCCCACTTAATTGATTCAGAAATAGAAGTTATATATCTCTGCCAATTTTATTTTTATTAATTAAATTGGTAAATGTTACCACCAACAACTTAGTAGATAATAACTTTAAAAAGATACTATCTTACCCTGCCAGCATGACTCAGGGGTTGAGCGTTGACCTATGAACCAGGAGGTCACAGTTCGATTCCCAGTCAGGGCACATGCCTGGGTTGTGGGCTTGATCCCCAATCGGGGGTGTGCAGGAGGCAGCTGATCAGTGATTCTCTCTCATCATTGATGTTTCTATCTCTCTTTCCCTCTCCCTTCCTCTCTGAAATCAATCAAAATATATTTTTTTAAAAACTCTTTAAAAAAAATAAGTAACAAAAAATAAAAAGATACTATCTTAAGCATACAGTTTTTGTTTTGAATTCTGCAAACCTTCGTCAATTTTCTTGCTTTTAATTTTTGCTAAGGAACATCATTCTTTGTGTGTAAGTGGATTTATATAATTTTATAAGGAACTATGGAGGATCAGCTATCATAGAATAGACTTCAGAATATATAGTATGGTTTTTCTTGTAGGACCAAAGTTGTTCCCTGGATTGCACATGCTTTTATAACCAGAAGTTTTTAAATACTTCATTTAACCACTGGCTGTGTGGCTTTTTTGAATTATTAAAAATCATTTTCAGTAAATGGACTTCATTGGACTTCTTCATTCAAAGAGTTTCTTTGAACCACTATAGACACATTTGAATGCCTTTTTTAACCTTTCGTTAATAAATTAACATGTATTAAAAATGACCATAGGAAAGTGGGATTGAGTAAATACAAAGTAAATCTATCAGTGTGTTTATTCTATATTCATTAGAACAGGTAATATTATGCTGCAATAATAAGCCTAGAATCTCAGTGACTGAAAACAACCAAGTTTACTTTTCTCATTCTGCATATCCGTTGTAGTTTGAAGCAGTGATGTCTTTGTTGTAGTTACGTGGGGACTCAGGCTGAGGCAGGTTCCACCTTGACACTTCCTTCAGCTATTACAGTTCTGGGGAAAGGATGTGCAGTGAATCTTCTAATACTCTCAAAACTTCTGTCTATAAATGACACAGTTCCCCTGGGCGAGGTGTGGCCACACCTGAGTTCAACAAGCTGCGTGATCCTCACACAGAATGGGCCACTGGATTTTGCAGGCAGTACAGCAGTTCACCAGACTCTTCAAAATGAGTGAGCATTTGGAAACTGTCGATAACCTCAGAGTGTCTGGTTTCAACTGCGCATGGGAAGAAAATGGAATGTTTTCACCTGATCATCATCTCATTAGTTTTAGAACTCATATTGGGTTCAGTGCACTGAACACATACCCCCTCCCCGCACCCCCCCCCCCACACACACACAATTCTACATGGTTTAAATTATTTAGGAACTGTTTTACAGAAATATTTATACCACAGGGGATATTGGCATTATTCCACATGCAGTGTGGACAGGGAATGACAGTGTTGTGGGGACTAACCTTTAAATTCACATTCGTAGGTCGGCCAGGACCATTAATAAATTTCATGACTACATTATAGTTTCGCAGGATTTAAACTTCTTTTTCTTTTTTTCTGTCTCATGGAACAAAAAAAGGCCACATTTTAATTTGGAGTTTAAATATATTAATTGTGTACTGTGTTAGGAGAAAACTGAGTGCTACAATAGCTAACAGTTTAAATAACAAATATAATTGAACCATTAAAGTTATTGCAAAATTCACACTAAAATGAAAGTATTGTAATTTGTTGTAAAGATCCACTGTTTTTTCATTTATTTTTTTTTAATCTCACACAATCAGCTTTTATTTAATTATTGCTAACATTTCCTGGCCTTTTTTTTTTTTTTTAGGTATTACTGGTTTTTCCAAAATATTTTGTGAAACTTCCCAGAAGCTAGTTAGTGTGGAAGCCTTTGCTCTGGCTGCGAAATATTATTCTATACAAAACTTGGGAATATGTACTCCTTTTGAGCAATTGCTTGTAGCCCTTCGAGGAAATAAAGAAGAGAAAACTGGTAGGTGTGTGTGTGTGTGTGTGTGTGTGTGTGTGTGTGTGTGTACACGTGTGTGTATGTATGATTTTAGGCACTTAGAAGCAGTATATTGTTCATATATGTATGTCTTTCCAATATGGTCTTAATTTAGTGTTCAACCTTATATCATGAACCCACATAGGCTTATGCCAAGTGGGTCTTCTCATGCAACATATTAAACAGAACTTCATTACGGATCTCCACATTTTTTTCTATATGATAGTTCAGTTATCAGTCTTTTTCTTTATAGTTAATTGTTTTATGTATCAAGGAACATTTTAATAATGTTCTGTCGGTCTTATTTATTTTATTCATTCAAATTTGAATCATAGACCTATAGAGATCTATTATATACTAGTAGATACCACAATAGGATCTATATTATTTTCATAGTTACTTACAGAAAACATGAATGTCAACTGATGGTCCTTATTAACTTTTGTTTCTTTAATAGCAGTGTTTTAATTTTGTTGTATTTCTACTCAGGTGACAATGTGAAGCCAGATGAGTTTATGAATTTGAAAAAATCTCACGAAGTTCAGGCAATGTCAGAGCTGATCAGCAGTATTGCTGATTACTGTGGGATAAAACAGGTAAGAGTATTTCCCTTTATTTTCAGGTGTTAAGATTATTGCCTCTCTCTTTTTTTTTTGTATCATTCAAATTATTTTTTCTACTATTACTGTCTAGTCTTTAAAATGCCATTAAATAATAGCTGATATGAGATATGTCAGAGCCTTTAAAAATGTGCTCTCATTTCCCAAACACACTCCAATTATAACAAATCTATACTAAAAATAAGGTATCACTATGCATGTTTTGCCACAAATTTCACTCTTTTCAGAGTGGATAGAAGTTAAAGATGATTCCCTTTGACATGTTATAACTCCAACTTGAGGCAGCATTATGATTATGACATTTTGCAAAATTATTATCAGGACCTGGCCAAGCTGTGATATGGGGCACCTACCTCATTATAGTAACACAAAGAAACTGTATTTTAGAACTTGGATTCTTTTACACTGTCAGAATTACAATGCATTCCTGTTGTGAGAAATCACTTTTGTGTAACAGATCTTTGAAAACAGATGTTAAAATAAAATCAAAGATTGCCTGGACCTATAAAAATAGTAAGTTATTTTTCCCCCTGGCTTATAAAAATAGTAAGTTATTTTTCTTATCCCTATGAGAACATCTATGGGGGTAATGGACAATTTTCCCTCCTTCAATTTTTATTAGGTGTTAGAATCTTTTCCATGGATTCTTCCAGACTTGAGGAGAGCCTGAGGATGGTTGGAAAATGATCACAGTGTGGGCTAGGTGTGCACAGCCACTTGTGACAATGTAGCTCTGTAGGGTAGAGGCTAGAAGCAAGAGCTAAGCAATAGTTTTTCATCTTTTCTTAAGTGTATCATACCTAAGCAACACCTTTCAGGATTAGTAACAGGCTCACCATGGCGGTGATGCTCATCTGGACCAGAAGGTGCAAGTACACAGTGAAACTTAAACTATTGCCATACAAATCACATGGGTGAATATTACAAACATAAAATTGAATGGGAAAAAATAAGCAATTTACGGAAGGCCACATATTTTATGGTACCATTTTTAGAAGCTCTAAAGAAAAATAATGGTATATTCCTAAGGCAAAAAATTACAAGAAAGAAAGCAATGGAATCATAATAATTTGAGAATAGTTAATTACCTCTGGTAGGGAAGCAGGGAAATGGGTTATAGATGGAAAACCATCCACAATTAAGGCAGCAGAAATACTAATGTTCTAGTTTTTAGGATGGCTGATAGGTTCGTGGGTATAGCCGGTGCTGTTGGACACCTAACCTAATACTCTTGGGCCTTCCCATTGCATGGTGTGCCCGCCTACTTCCTACCTGGCAATGTCTGCATTTCTTTCCCTGTGGGTTTAATCTGGCTGCTGAAACAAGGCGCTGCTTGCATACAGGTTTTGGGAATTAATTCCTCTCTGTGGCAAGCCTTGAACCACTGATCGGTACAAGTTGATATCAAATACATCAACTCCCTGACATTTCAGGTGGATGATTCTGAGTGTGCCTTCTACACTAGCTCTCAGAATTTCCCAGTGCAATTAAACCCAAGTTGCCCTAAAAGTATCTTGATTAATAATGCACCTTTTATTGGACTGCCTTCCTTTCTCTTTTTCTCTTCTCTACTTCCCTACCCTTCTTTCACCTCCCAAATAAATCTCTGGTGTAGAATCTGCTCTGTTGTAACACAAAAACTAAGATGAAGGGTATTTACTGTGCTTCCATAACTTTACATTTTGACTATTTATTCTTTTATTTATGTGAAATATTGCATAATTATAAATAACTTTAATAAAGCAGATTTATTTTATTTCTAAATAGCAGGAAAAAATTTTGAAATAGCTTAATATATCATGTTAGACCTGCTTTAAGGGAATTTTTTCAAAGCAAAGGAGATTGTTCCTAGTGGATGAAATCTCCTAAAGTAAAGACTTTTACAAGGTCTTTGTCTAAATCATTTAATAGCAATATTTGATTCTCACAATAGTTCAGTTTAAAACATTTTTTATATGTACCACTTTACTTTTAAAATGCAGATTTCATGATGGTCGATGGAAATCCAGAATCAGAAACATTTGCCTTTACTAGTGGCCCTAGAGAGCTCTCATTAACTGTGATGGAGAAGATATGGGGAGAGGCAGAAAATATTTTACAGAAAATATCAAGCACTTAGTTTGGAACATGTTAAGTTTGAGATGCTTATTAGACACTCAAGTGGAAAAATTAGGTAAACTGATGGATATATGATTATGAAGTTCATCAGAGAATTCCATATTGGTGTTATAAATTTATTTAAAATTTGAAATTTGAAAGCCTTTAGCTTAGAATGGTAATTAGATCTTCAAGTTAGTCAACACAATATAACTCTTCTATCTGAAGTATAATGACCACTGTGTGTAACAATGTTTTTGTGAGAAAGTATCCTAAACAGAATTAGGAAACTAGGAAGGTCAGTCACAACAGGCATTGGACTAGAGTCTCCTCTGTCTTCTAACCTGTAAGGTGATCCAGGATGGAAAATACTATTGTGAGTAAAGAGTAGGAAATCAGGGTGGTGGAAATTTTGCAATTGAGGCCAGATAGTGTGAAGGCAAAACGTTTTATGACTTATACAACTTTTAATTGCACAGAGTTTTCCATTCTATTGCTAACACTGCATATGTTACTAAGTCAGTTTGGAAAGGGATAGAAGTCAGCTTGGGTCAATAAGATGTAAATGTAGGCTGACAAATTTTCTAGGAAAAGTTACTCATTACTGAAAAGGTTTTTAGGTATTATATTGTGAAAACATGATTCTAAGAGTTTCTACAGCCATCAAGAAGAATTAAAAATAAGCTAGCAAAAGTTTATTTTGCTCTTTAAATTCTACATGCAAGTGAAATAATGGTATTTGTCGCTCTCTGATTTATTCCTCTTAGTATAATACACTTTAGTTCCATTCATGCTGTCACAAATAATAAGATTTCATTCTTTTTTATGACTGACTTAACATACCATTGTATATATGTATCATAGCTTTTTTATCCACTTGTTTGTTGATAGGCACTTGGGTTACTTCCATATCTTGGCTATTGTAAACAACACTGCCATGAACGTAGGGGTACATATTTTCTAAAGTTGAATGTCGTTGAATCTCTGAATGGTTCAACTCTTCTACTGAAAGATTTCCTAAAATGAAGTGAATTTTCTTCATTGTTCAAAACTTGATGTTCTGTTACTTGCAGCCAGAATTTTCCTCATTTACAAGTGGAATTATTATAAACATACTAGAGCAGCCGTGGGCAAACTACGGCCTGAGGGCCGGATCCGGCCCGTTTGAAATGAATAAAACTAAAAAAAAAAAAAGACCGTACCCTTTTATGTAATGATGTTTCTTTGAATTTATATTAGTTCACACAAACACTCCATCCATGCTTTTGTTCTGGCCCTCTGCTCCAGTTTAAGAACCCATTGTGGCCCTCGAGTCAAAAAGTTTGCCCACCCCTGTACTAGAGGCACGGTGCACCCGTGCACCAGTGGGGTCCCGTGGCCTGGCCTGTGGGGATCCGGCCGAAACCAGCTCTCCGACATCCCCCAAGGGGTCCTGGATTGCAAGAGGACAGTTCTCGGGTGACGCTCCCTGGAATTGGGCTCCCTCCTCTCTGGTTCCTGGTGCATCACCCGAGAACCGCAGCTGCCAAGTCACCACAGCTCAGCAGCTCCTGTGTTGAGTGTTTGCCCCCTGGTGGTCAGTGCACGTCATAGCTACTGGTCAGAGTGTCTGCCCCCTGTTGGTCATTGCACATCATAGCTACCAGTCGGATGGTTGCTTAGGCTTATATATATATAGATTTGAAAAAAAACTCAATTATCTGTTGGTAAGAAAATATCTAAATTGATGGGAACAAATACATCAACCACTGGTTGCTAGCATTAAATTTGTCATTGATATCAGTGAGTGTGTTTTATAGAATCAAAGGAAAGTTTTGCTTTCTCTGAAGATTCAGATATAAGGGAATTGATTAATAGAGTTTCTACTGTACAGCTCTTATATTCATGAGTATAGGTATGGTAACTTCAATTAGATTATACTTCCTTAAGTCAAGATATATTATGCTTCTGTGTTTCCCAGAGATTAACATTAAAAACTGGTATAGGGAAGTATTTGTAAGCTAGTTACTTATTTAGGGGACATTATTTATTGGAGTCTTACCTATGAAATACTTGAATTACAAGACCCCTGAAATTTTTGAGGATTTAATTAATGATATGCATTACTACAAATATAGGCATGTTTCCTTGAGTGGCTCATACTTACGACAGAGTTTAATTGATTTTAGTTAGGAATTAAAGATAGTTGTAATAATATTAGATAATTTCTTATGATAGTATTTCTGTAATTGTCCATTTATTTCTTATGAAGAGGCATGGCAATATAATAGTAATCTTGGTAACTTTTTACTTATTTTATCATTTTTAGTTTAATTAATATATTCTCCAATTCTAGGTGTTCAGTTTGATAAATTTGGTAATTGTATGCAGTTGTGTAACCATCACCATAATAAAAAATATTTCTGTCATGATAAAAAGTGTCCTCCATGCCCTTTTGCAAGTTATTTTCTCCTCTATTCTCAGGGAACTACTGATTTGCTTATAGTTTTGACTGTTCTAGAACATTGTACAAATGACATTTTGTGTTTGACATCTTTATGACATAGCTTTTGAACATTCTCAGTGTTGTTATATTTACCCTTTGTTTCTCTTTTTTGCTAGGTAGTAGACCACAGTATGTTTATAAATGTTTTTTCATTTACCAGTTCATGACCATTTGAGTTGTTACCTTTATTTGGCTGCTATTACTATTCACTTACAAGACTTTGTGTGGACATGTTTTTATTTCTCTTGAATAATTAGTCCAGAGTGGGATTTGTAGATTATATACTAAGTGTATGTTTTAACTTTATGTTAAACTACCCCTGTCTTCCAAAGTGCTGTACAATTTTACATTTGTGCATTTCTCATTATGATTTTAGTTTGCATTTCCCTGATGACAAGTGATATTATGCATCTTTTAATATTGGCTGTTTATATGACACTAGAGGCCCGGTGCATGAAAATTCATGCACTGGAGGGGGGTCCTTCAGCCCGTCCTGCCCCCTCTCATAGTCCGGGAGCCCTCAGGGGCAGGAGGTGACCCAACAATCAGGGGAAAGTGACGCCCCCATCACACCTCTGCTGCTGCCACTGCCAGCAGCGCAAGCCTCGGCCGGCCCTGGTTACCTGAGCCTCGGGCAGCCTGGGCAGCCGCCATCCAAGGCTTGCCTGCGCCTCAGGCTGGACCTGGGCGGCTGGGCAGCCGAAATATGAGGCTTGCCTGCACCTCGGGCGTCGGCTGGGTAGCTGCCATCTGAGGTTTGCCTGCGCCTCGGGCTGTCCCTGAGTGGCTGGGGGCTGAGGGGACTGGGGGACTCCAGAGGCAGGCGCACCCTGACGGGGCTGAGGGTACTGGGTACCGCCATCTCTGAGGGCGTGGCAGTCAATTAGCATATTTCCTCCTTATTGGCTGTGGGTGCCGCCATTTTTGAGGGCATGGCAGCAATTAGCATATCCCCTCCTTATTGGCTGTGGGTGCCACCATCTTTGTGATGGTGTGAGGGTCAATTAGCATATTCCCTCTTTATTAGATAGGATATTGTGAAGTGTGTGTTCAAATTATTTGCCCATTTTTAATTGGTTGCTTGTCTTATTACTGAGTTGCAAAAGTTCTTTATATATTCTGGACATGAACCATATGTCAAATAAATGATTTGCAAATACACTATTCAGTAGTTCTTTTCCTTTTTAACTATTTTAAATAGCAAAAGTTTTCATTTTTAATGAGGTTTATTTTTTCAATTATTTGTAGTTCATGCTTTTAATGTTCTACATAAGTAATCTTTGCCTCTCCTAATGTCACAAAGATTTTTTTATGTTTTCTTTAAGAAGCTATTAGTTTTTACTATTACATTTAGATATGTGATCCACTTTTAATTAATTTTGTTTTTGGAATGCCATAAGCAAAGTTCATTTTTTCATACAGACATCCAGTTATAACAGCACCATTTGTTGAAAAGACTCTTGTCTTCATCAAATTACCTTAGCAGTTTTTTTGAAAAATCAGTTGTTTATATTAGTATTAGTATGTTTCAGAACTCTATTTTTTTCATTGGTTTATATGTCTATTTTTATACTAGCATTATACTGTTTTGATTACTCTAGTTTTATATTGATTCCAAAATTGTGTAAATCCTCCAACCTTATTCTTTTTCAAAAGTGTTGTGATTATTCTAGGAACTGTGCCTTTTCATATAAATTGTAATATTGTTTGTCAATTTCTTTTTAAAAATCTGCTGGAATTTTTATTAGGATTGCATTGAATCTATGTCAGTTTGGGAAATTGCCGTCTTAAAATTGAGTCTCATGTTTTGTCAATATGGTATATCATTATTTAATCTTTTAAATTTTTTCTATGCAGTGTTTTGTAGTTTTCAATATATAGGGACCTTACACAACCTTTGTTACATTTATTACTAGGTATTATATTATGCTATTTTAATTCAAATATTTTATAATTTGTTACTGTATTTATATATTCTAGTGGTTTAGTATTAATTTCTAATGATCCTGTATTCTGACACATTGCTAAATTCACTTTCTGTGTTAGCTTTTTTGGTATATTATTCAGTATTTTCTGATACACAGTCATATTATCTATGAAGAAGAGTTTTATTTCCAATATTTATGACTTTTGTATCTTTTTCTTGATATTACACTGTCTAGAATTTCTTTTAAAAACTTAAATAAAAGTGATAAGTGTAGTTGATTTTTAATAGAAATCAAAATTAAAATAAAAAACGTAACAGGTTGTATAAAGTATACAACCATTTGTTTACTTTAATTCATTCTGTTTTTCTTTAGGTAATTGACCTGGGTTCTGGAAAAGGCTACCTAAGTTCCTATTTGTCCCTGAAGTATGGCTTAAAAGTTTACGGAATCGATTCCTCAAATATCAATACTCATGGAGCTCAGGAGAGAAACAGGAAGCTGAAGAAACATTGGAAAGTCTATCATACTCGGTCAAACTTAGATGTCAATGACCTGGCATTAAAAATGGCAAAAGAAAAGAAAATGCAAGATCAAGTTAAAAATAAAGCAGATATTGAGGGAGTATGTAACAACAGTCCTGCAAATCAAGAAATGATGTCTACATCAGATTTTTTGCCAGACTTTTCGAGCTCTGTTATTTCTAACATCAGAAAACAAATGGAAAACCTACATGTTCATTCCCATCGAGAAGAAAATTTGTGTTTTGAGAATGCCTTTTCTCTTATAGACTTTTTGCCTGTTAATGCCATTGAACCTACTTCTTCCTCCCAAATACTCAAGAGAAAAATGTCTGAAGCAAATAGAGAGAGAAGAAAAACAACATCCAATTCAAATGAATCAAATATATACTCACCTTTAACATCTTTTATTACTGCTGATTCAGAACTACATGATATTATTAAAGATCTGGAGGTAATTTCACATTTGAATTCCTTAATTTGATTTACAAAACTGCTCTAGGACATAGAATTAAATTTTAATAGTAGCTTACTTAACCTACATATCTTATTTGGTTACATTAATCTAAAGAACTAAAATTATGTATAGACTTTTATGATTCTCACAGCTATCAAAATCTGATAAGAGTACAAAATATGACATTTACAGTTTGCCAAAATAGAGTGCCTTTCACTCATTTCAAGCCTCCTAAATCAAACAGAAGTACTAGCAAAAAAGCTAGTAAGCTAAGTTCTCATTATGTAATTTAGGGATTAAAATTCCAATTCAAGAAAATTTGTACATTTTAATTAATATTTGAAGTAAAGATATATCTACAGCAATGTTATCTATCTATATATATATATAAAGAGCCAGGGGCCATTCCAACCGAACGGACAACTGAACAGACTGGGTGGGGCAACCAGGCCTGCAGGGGGGTTATTGAGAGATGACCAAGCGACTGAACAAGCAGGCTGCATGGGGCGACCAGGCCAGCAGGGGGTTATTGAGGGATGACCAAATGACTGAACACCAGGCTGTGTGGGGCGACCAGGCTGGCAGGGGGGTTAGTGAGGGGCGACCAAATGACTGAACAAGCAGGGTGTGTGAGGCAACCAGGCCAGCAGGGGGGGCAGTGAGGGGCGACCAAATGACCGAACAGCAGGCTGTGTGAGGCGACCAGGCTGGCAGAGGGGGGCTGTAGGGGCAACAAAGCCAGCAGTGGGGGCAGTTAGGGGTGCCCAGGCTGGCAGGGGGTTCCATGAGGGGCGACCAAGCCAGCAGTGGGGGGCAGTTGGGGGCAACCATGCTGGCGGGGGGGGGGGTAGTTAGGGGCAGCCAGGCCGGTGGGGGGGAGCAGTTGGGAGTGACCAGGTTGGCAGGGGGGGCAGTTGGGGACGAGCAGGCTGGCAGGTATAGGCAGTTAGGGGTGATCAGGCTGGCAGGCGGGCCAGTAGGGGCGATTAGGCAGGCAGGCGGGTGAGTAGTTAGGAGCCAGTGGTCCCAGATTGTGAGAGGGATGTCCCAGATTGGAGAGGGTGCAGACTGGGCTCAGGGCCCCTCCCCCCCCATGCACAAATTTCGTGCGCTGGTCCTCTAGTATATATATATTTAAAACCCTAATATACAAATAGACCGAACAGCGGAACAACCGATTGCTATGACGTGCTGCTGACCACCAGGGGGCACATGTAGACAATGGTGGGCGTTGGCAGCAGGTGGAAGAGTGCAGAACATGGCGGGCATTGGCTGTGGCAGGATGGTGGAGCAGGTGAGCAGGGGCAACAGACCAAGGTGGGGTGCTGGTCGCTGTCATCAGGGAGAGCCGCTGGTGGTTACTAAAAATTCTTTGCTCCTTCTTGCACGCCGTGGTCCTGCTGGGCGCTTGCACCTGCTGCCGGCATCAGCCCTGCTCACACCCGCTGCCAGTGCTGGAGCTGCTGCTCGCACCTGCTGCTAGCACATGGTGCCAACCCCAGTCACTCGGAGCTGTCAGTGGGTGCGAGTGGCAGCTGCCAGCCCTGATCACCCCTCAGGGCTTCTCCACCTCCCCCTGCTCTTGAGCGGCAATTGAGGCTGGCAGCCACTGCTCACATCCACTGCCGGTGCCGGTCCTGCTTGCACCCACAGCTGGCGCTGGCATCGATTACTCTGTGCCATCAGCGGGTGCAAGCAGGGCCGGCGCCGTCAGTGCGTGGGAACGGCAGCAGCGGGCAGGAGCAGGGCTGCCCACAGACAGGAGACTGGGGGCCATGGCGGGAGGGGCCGGTTGGGGGCGCGAAGGATGGGCTGAGACCTGCCCCTGTGCCCACTGCAGCGTCGTGGCCCACAATTCCTTTCAAGGTGCACAAATTCGTGCACTGGGCCCCTAGTATTTACTGTTAGCCTTGGTAACCAAATATGCAGTTTATGGAGCAAATGTTAGCTTCTGAGTATGCTTAAAGAATTTCAACTTTTTTCTAAACTATAAGTTTGTCAAATGTAATTCAAAGAGAATACTTCTTAAACAAAGGCACCATTGTATGTTAAGACAATATTGTAGAGGAGCTTCTAGAAATCATTCAGCCTAACTCATTGTTTAAAAAGAAAAAAAAAGGTAGCCTTTGAAGCTATACTATTCTACTTATTAAATTTTTCAGTTTTTAAAATTAATTTTAATGGGATGATTAATAAGATTATATAGGTTTCACGTGTACATTCTATGATACATTATCTATATATTGTATTATATATCCACCACACAAAGTCAAATCTTCTTTTGTCACCATATATTTGACCCCCTTATACTTTACTAACCTCCCTCTGGTAACTACCATACTGTTGTCTAGGTCTCTGAGTTTTTGTTTTTGTTTTTGTTTTTTCTGTTTATTCATTTGTTGCTTTCAGTCTTACATCCCACATATGAGTAAAATCATGAGTGACTTTTTCTGACTTACTTCGCTTCGCCTGATATTCTCAAGATCCACCCATGACACAAATGGCAGCGTTTCATCTGAGTAGTGTTCCATTGTTTATATGTACCACATCTTTATCCAGTCATCTACCAAAGGACACTTCAGTTGTTTTCCATGTCTTGGGCACCGTGAATAATACTGCAGTTAACATATATCTTCTGCATATATCTTTTTTTTTTCTTTTAAATTTCTATTCGCCCAGGAGGCTGGCCCCTCAACTTAAATATCCTGCTCAGAGTCTTGGCCCTCCCGGCTGTGGGCGGGTGCAAGACTGGGTCCTGGAGCCCTTGTCGAGGGCAGTGGAACCCAGGGACCAGAGGTGGGATGCCCCTGAGCCGGCAGCTGCCAACAGCAGCAAAAGGTGAAAAGGAGATGGGAGTCAGATACACATCCCAGTCCCAGAGATACCAAGGGAGAGAAGATGCTTTGGGCCCACTGACAGACTGAAGGT